AAATTTAGCCTAATACTCGACCATCATATCTAAATTTGGCAGTAAGGAAAATAGTTTTTTAACCAAAATCACGTGTATCCCTTTTTTAAAAAAATTTATTGCATTTTCGAACGAATCACAAAATTGCAATTTTTGAAATTTGAGCACGTGATGCAGCAATAGGAGGTCTTTAGACCGAGCCAACCATAGAAACTTTGATTAACACTTGTTTTTGTTGTTATTTTTAATAAGTTACACAGATGTAAAAAACTTTTTTATATATGAAAAAGTCTCACACATCTCTACATCCCCAAGAGTAAACCCTTTTTTTTCAATATTCTTAAAAAAAAAAGTATAAATATGTTCCTTGACATTTGTTTCATAACTCAAATAAAAAAGTATTATTTTATAGTACCAACATTTTTCTGATGCGGATTTACATAAGTTTACAGCAGGCCCCATAATATTATGCAAAAATCATACAAAAATTATGCAATTACTACATTGAGTGTAAATATTAATGCAAATATTACAACTTTACATATTAAAATTTATGGACATAATATTATAGTGGGAAAAATTTCCTGATGAAAGTATAATACCATTTTTTATACAAAGTTGTCAATTAGTGAAATTTGAGACATTTTTCCTCCACCAATCCTTATTTAGAGTTCACCAATTCATAGACAGATCATTAATTAAATGTTTGGTGAAAAGATAAAATAAATTAAAAATAAAAAATTGGATGTTACAAAAATACATATTAAAATTAATAAGTATTAAGCTCTGGACAAAGAATATCTTTAAATGGATCTTCTACATGTTGACAAATTTTTGTATACAGGCGTCTTTTTCTATCATCTGTTAATAGAACAACTGCAATTGGCCATCTTTATTAAAATCATCATTCTTTGGAAGTTTAAAAAGAATTTCCAAGCCACCAGAATTTTTAGCAACATAAACTTTTCCAATATCATTTCCACCAAAAAGAAAATGATGGTATTTTGTTATATCTGGTAAATTTCTAAAACTATTGTTAAATAGTGAATTAAAGTCATACCATTTCCAACCATTCCACTTTATATATTATTATGTTTTGTTGTTCAACAAAAAATAGTACCAAATTTTAGGGTGCAATTTCCCTTTTTATGTAACAATTTTATGATTTCTATTCATCTGAAAATTTAAGCCTACCAGTTGTCTATATCAAGAAGTCACTTACATGGCATGGCTCTTCTTCTGCTCATTTCTTTTCAATGGATATTCACCTCCTGGCCTCCAGCCTGAATTTTCATTATCACTAGATTCAAATGTTATTTCATCCTGAGTTGATTTTTTCACCATCACCTAATTCAGGATTAATCTGAAATTCCAAATCATTAATAAATATAGCATCAACTTCTGATAACTATGGATTTAATATAAAGTCATTTAATTTATTGAATATCTAACATAAAATAAAAAAGAACTAACTTTACCCTTACATGACTTCTAAAAATAACCTTCCATATTCAATAACATCCATCTTCTCATTCATGGCCATCAACACAAACCCAATTGAATGGTTTAGAATGAATAAATCCCATCTTTTTAAGCCATCTGGCACTAATTTGATAAATATAAGGTTTGGGAACATTGGACTGTTATTTATGAAGGTGTTGATTTATCCCTTCATCCAAAAGTAAAATGTAATTATTGTAATAAGATATATGAAGAGATACCTGAAAAATTCAGAAAAAATCTTCCATTGTTCTATTAAAGGTACTGAGATATATATCATCATCATCATCTTTTTCTTCTTCTAATATGCTTGATGATTTTGTGGATACAATGTCTGGAGCAGAGCAAAAAAATTAGAATTAATGCTAGACAAAGCATTACAGTTCATTCTCTCTATAACAAATCATTAGGACTAGAAAAAAATATCCATTGATCATTACATGTATGAAGTCGCATGCAATTTTAATATTAATGAAACATAAAAAATAAGTGTTTATCATTTTTATACTACATAAAAAAAATATATTCAATGTTAATATTTAAAAAAACCATCTAATTTAGGTTGTATTTCCTATTTTTTGACCTTAAATTGTTGCTAATTCTTTGTTTGTTGGAATCAGAGTTGTCTACTTTGCTAAACAAACCTCACTTTTTACCAATATTTTCTCTTATTTAAAAAATAATGAAACAAAATAAATTAATATAGAACTTGAGTTAGGAATTAGGTGAATTTAAATCAAGAAATTCAATTTATACATTTTATTTGTTTTTTATATATACTTTAATATATTAGATCATCATAGGTCATATGAAATGGTTTTCAGATACAATCCAGTATACGTTATACCCGTTATTTCAAATAGTAAAAAATTGGGACAAAATTTAGTCTGTTATGAAGGACAATCCGGTATAGAAAGAATGGACTGTATATACATATTATTATTATACATTATATGTTTGTCATCATCCCTTATAATACCAGCAATTTTTATCATACCATATAATTCTCGACTCTAGCTAGACGTTCATCTATAATATCTGATTATTTTTATTATTATTATTTATTTACTGTTAGTTTGCACCTAAAGTCAGCTATCGCAAATTAAAAATTAATGCCAGCCGTGGAAAAGTTTTTTGTAATTCTGGAGCAAATCATTGCCCCTGCGTCACGTCCCCAAAAATTATCAGGAAAATTGCATTTTCCTGATTTTACTGGATGTGCATATTAATATGGAAACTGTTAAATTTTTCCTTTGTATTTTTTTCCTTATTATTATTATGTTTTATAAGGTGATATGCAAAACCTAAATTCCTTACATTTTCCTTACATTCATTGAATGCTTCGATACAATGCTTTTCTGGAACAGCAAAATAATTTTTTATTTATAACGAATGCGTAAAAATTTGTGACGTCATACAAGTGGATTTGTGAAAAATAACATTCTTTTTTTAATCTAATGCTTCCCGAAAGTTGTATTTTAATAAAGGATTTACTTAATATTGTGTCTCATATTTAAATGTAAAACAGTAAAATCTTTTTTTTTTATTTTAAATGTTAAAAAAATAATTTAGGATAGGGAAAAAACGGAATGAGTCTTTTTTATATTATTTTTTGCGCCGTTAATTTCTTTTGTTTTTATCAAGTAATCAAAATATCTTTTATATAATAAAAATTATTTTTAAAAATTAATTTCACAGAGATACAAAACGTACATATTCGTTATAGGGAAAGTGAACTGTATCTATTAACCGTTAATATACAAAAAGAGTTTTGTTCGACTTGTATTGTTAACATTAATTAACTGCTTATTCATCATGTGTTTTTCTTTGCATCCATTTATAATTAAATAAATCGGAATTTTAGTTCCTTCTGTAGAATTTATTTTTTTTAAAAAGTAAAGATGATAAATCTCGGGTCTCACTAAAATTCATTTACAACATCGATGACAATCTCTTTGGACAAATGATTAATTTGTTTGTGTGCAGGGTTAGGAAAGTACTTTGGGGGGTTTTTTTTTTTAAAAGGATATGCGAGAGAGGAAAAATTAATAAATCAATATTAATATAATGATAATAATAATGAGATTGTTTTAGTAAAAATTAAAATTATTGTTTTCCAATTCTAGAAATAAATCATCAATCATCAACCTAGATAAAATGACACCGATCCAGAAAACATTTACAACTTGGAAAAAAAAGTCAAAATACATGAAAGTAAATCCTTTGGTAAATCTCAATCAAAATTATTTTCCATTACTTTTTACTAATTATTTCTTTTATTTATTGCCGGATATTAGAAAATCGTTATTTTTTTATTTTAACATTTCATTCACATGAAAAAAAAAATTTATTACTACGGTACATAATAGTAATAGAAATTTTCCAACAAATGATTGGAAAAAGTAAATATAATAATAATTCTTAATGTGTGTCACCAAAGGTCATCGTGACTTTTCATTTTTTCGCTTTGAACCTGCACCAAAAATCACAAACTATCGGGTTTAATTTAATTATTAATATTAATGTTCGGAATTTTAAACTCCATTTTTAAATTAAAAGTTATTATGTGTAAAAGTTCGAGAAAATGTATATAAATGAGTGTTTTCTTGCTTTTTCTTTTATTTTTTTTCCTTCAGTTTGCTTAAATGTTTAATCTATATTTGAATCGTTGATTAATTTTTTTCTATCGTTCTCGAAAAAAAAAACCAAAATTTATGCATTTTATTTTCGCGTGATTATTAAAAACTATGAGTTCACATACAACATCAAATATTCATTTGACATCAACCGCCGCTACTAACACCACTCAGAATGCAGTAGCATCATCGTCATCATCACAACTTCCACCAGTCCAATCGATATGGACAAAAATAATTTCTATTAGGGCTGTAAATAATAATAGTGATAGTAATAATGATGATAAACTAGAAAAATTTAAATTTGTTAGTAGTGATAAGAAAAATGATATACATGATGCCATCTTTAAAGAATTTGGCTATAAAAGATTTTCGCTCAAGGATTTATGTGATGGAAATATTATCACTGGTAGTTTTGATTCGTTAATGAATAATGGAAAATATGAGATAATTGATCGTGGTGGTAATAGTAGCGCTGTTAGTAGAAATAGTAGCGGTAGAAGTAGTGGCAGTGGCGGTGGAATCGATATTGATATTGTTGGAATTGATAAAAATAAAGAATTAATAATTAACGAATTGGATATTCTTTCTTCTAATGAGGTAAGAAAATAAATAATATTAAGAAAATAATATTAAAAATAAATTATTATACTGATAAAAATTTATCAAAAGAAATTAAGAAAAACTAGAAAATTATTGAATCGTATGTTTTCAATCGTAACGACTTCTTCTTCCACTACCACCTCTTCCAATTCCTCTTCCACATCTTCATCCTCATCCTCCAACTCCAACTCTACCACATTACCATCATCGTCATTATTACAGGGTAAGAAACGTAAATTAATTCAAGAAAAATTTTTTTCTACTACCACCACTAGCACCTCTCTCGATAATCGTCATCATTATCATCACAACCATTATCATTTTTTTAATTCTTTATCTCAACCAAAAATGACATCAATTCGAGTAAAGAAATTGTCTTCTTCCTCTACTGAATCAATTAAATTAGACGACATCAATGATAACAATGATGACGATGATGACAATAGTAGACCTAAAAGAAGAAAAACGAGGAAGTCTAAAGTTTGCTCAAGATGCAGAAAATGTAAGAAATCTTGCGATCGACAAAAACCTTGCAACCGTTGTGTCAAAGCTAACGTTTCTGAACAATGTGACGCCGGTGGTGATTCTAATGATAACGATAAATGAAGAACATAATTCGAAAAGAAGAAATTTTTATTATTATGATTTTTATGATTTTAATTTTTTTTTATTTCTCATATTTTTTTTAAGCATATTATTATTATGAATAAATTTTTCCTTATGTTTTAAATAAAAATTAAGCCAAAAGTAATCAATGTTTGTATATTATTATAATTGATCAAAAATTATTATATAATATTAAATTATTTTGTTAACACTTACCAATCTTATTGGATCTTTTTGCTGGTAAGACCGAATCGAACCATAATCTGAATTTAACAATGAATTCACGACAAGTTAAACGCATGTAGGCGAGTTACCCTTGACCCGTAGAGCAACTTTACTTAATTCGCAAGAATAAAGAAAATGTATCAAAGATTATCAATGTTTTGAATTAGGATTATATATATATTGATTTTTGGAGCCTTGGTTGGGTTTTATATCTAGTTTTCAACTTATCTAAATTTTGTAATTGTCTATATAGCCCTTAATTCTATTTCTCTGTAAAACTCGTAAATTTGCAAGAGGATGTTATAACAGAACTTTCTGGTAAAGCTGCTATTTTTGCATTAAAAAAATCGCGTTTCCCACAGAATCTGTTTTGATTGAATGTAACATAATTTTTGATTTACACGCGTCACGTACTGGTGTGACTTCTTTATATTGCTAATAATAATCGGTGAGATTTTTGATGTCTTTAGATAATCGATACCATAATAAAAAAGTAAGGAAATTAAAAGCAAAGACTTGTGTGCTTTGCAACACCATACTATAAGGATAGTTGCATTGGTTAATTAAATCTTCTTTTAAGCAAGATAATAATAGTTCACACACATATAATTCTTTAATATTAGTTCTCTTCTTTTTCATACGAACGAAAAAAAAATAAAGAATGCGAGCGATCATATCGACACCTATCCCAAATCACCTGGTTTGTGTGTTCTCTTTCTCTTTATAAATACATACTCGATTAAAAATAAAGAGGAGGCTAAATGCAGATCGGAGAAACGACAAATGTAATTGAGAGAATAATTTAATTTCAATTGAGCATTGTATAATAGGGAAGGAAATGATGCGTTGCATTACCAGAGATCAGATAGACATATTTGTTGTAGATTGCCGATGTCTCTTTCATTCCACTCTTACTGGTAGTCAAGTAAATATAATATTCATTTTCTCTTAAGGAAGCGATGTCGGATCAATGCACTTTGAGATTACTTTACCGTTGACAAAAAGATCTGAAAGTTTAGCATGATTCTGATACTATCAGCGCTGTATATAAAAAGTCGATCGATCACAGCTGTCCCTCGCCACAAACATAAAATGTTGTTCCCGGGTCGAATTTCGATAGATTTCATTTTTGGCAGTCACTGTAATATTTTTAATTCAAATTTGTTCTCAAATTTACATAAAAAATTTCTACGTATTTTACAATCCTTGCTGTATTCTAAAACAGTGTTGCATACAAAGTTTTAACACGCGCCAACTTATAGTAGTATCCTTTTTCAATATTTTTATAACTTCTTTTACATGAAAGTTTACAGAACTGGATACTCCACTGTTATGCAGCACAACGCATAATAACAACCAACTTGGACTATCATTCTAGAATTATTCCAGGATTTAGGTACTTCTTTCATTTTATCTTCCATAAAAACCTTACTGCAAATGTAGCATTGTCTTTGAATTTATCACCTTATCCAAAAGTTTGTGAATTCTTTCTGTGTAATAGTCATTTGCATCCTTAAAATATTTAAATCCTTCGGTTTTATATTCAGACCGAAATCTAAAGAAGCACAAAAACTCTCGTGCTATGCTATCCTGTGGGAATTCAATGACATCAGGTAATTTGCTGTTAAAATGAGCTGTAACTTTATCCAATTAATTATCGGCATAGTTTTGATAAAGCCTTGAATCTTCATTGTTTGCTGCTTTGTCATTATGATATGAAGATATAGAATGACACATTAAAACTGTTCCAGTCGGAAAGTATATTGGCAATAATATTACATTCAGGCTCAATAATCTGCAACAGTTTATCTTTTTCCAAATATCAATTTGTGTTTTACAAGAAATCCATTATCTTGATCCATGAAGATAAACCGAAAATACTTAATCAGCGCAGCAAAGGCTTAAACTAACTCACCATTAGTTGCTTCAAGGCAGCATCATACAATGAAGATGATGAAAGTTTTAAATAATTGATCAACATTTTTAGTATCTTTGAACCAGGCAGGATCTCACAAACAAATTAACCTTATTGTTGACAACGCCCCAGTTCCATTTAAGACGTATTTCATTGCTGTTTTCTTATTTGCTGCTTCTTTAAGGATAGCAATTCATTAATTAACTCTTTCATCTTGATATGAATAAGAATTTTATTGTTGAAACTAAATAATTCTTCAAGGTCAACCTCCTCGAATGTGATTTTTATTTACCTATCAAGATGTTTCATAAAATGAAGAATCAAGTGGCGGTAGATCTGTATAGTTATGGGTGAAAAAAACTTTATAAACTAGACGAACAGGAAGAACAAATAAATATTGTAGCAAGAGTGGTTTTATTCAAACATCAGCTCCTCTTCAATACGGCGTTTCTTCTGTTTTATATCTTCATGTTCGTATAAATGAAAACTGTGCAGCAATATTGAAGTCGGACTCAATCTATAAACTAAAAATAAATCAAAATGCTACCATTAAAAATGTTTGATAAATCCTTTTTCCTAATAAAGTCAAAAAATAGACACAATATTTTACAATAATATAAACAATCCATATATAAGCAAGGAATAGATGTAGTTATGGACCTTCCATGAGGTGCTTTGTAAATAAGGTTTCCTTCTTCATTGAATTTTTTCCTAAGCACATCCTTATCCAGATTCCAAAGTGCTTTAGCATTTACACTTGTTCAATTGCTTTGTAACCATATTCTTTTTCAAGCCCACGAAGTCAATAGACAACTTCTTCATAGCTTCCTTCTTGTGGAAAGGAATTTTTAATTATATAATTAGTTGTGAAAATTATGTATTTTTAGGGTTTAACATCACAATTGTACTACCACCAACATTTGTTCTAAATACTGAAATAGAGGTTGGCACATACTGAGAATAGAAAGCAAAATATACACGTTAAAAAAATACAAGTTTTTGTGCGCAGTCACGAGACTTTTTTCTAAATTCAGTTGAAGTCACATGTTTCACAACATAAAAAAGATCAACGATCGATTTTGTCACATGTGATAAAACGAATGTCCACTATGCTATTACTATTACTATAGTTTGCGGGGTCCTGTTTGTTCCGGTCGATCATTCAAAGGTCAAAAAAAAAATGTTAAATAAACTAAAGAAAGTGATTATTTTTGATGCATTTCCAAAAGTTGAAGCAGGATATCAGAATTCTAGTTCACAAGGAGGTCTAGTGACAATTATCGTTTCAATATTATTATGGATATTAATAATAAGTGAATTTATAGAATATCTTAGTGTGAATCATAAATATGAATTCTTGGTAGATAATAGTATTGATCATAAGATACAGCTCAATGTTGATATAACTATTAATACACCTTGTCAATGTAAATTATTATATTCATACTTATATACACACACACACACACACATATATTTTTAAATTTACCACTTTTTTTTTACAAATAGTCTTACTAATAAATGTTGTTGATGTTGCTGGCGAAATGTTACATATGACTAATGAGTTAGAAGTTACACCTGTATTTATTTATTTCATAATACCATTATTATTATTATTATTATTAATTAATTCTTAATTATTAATTATAATGATCTTTCTTCTTCTAGACAGTGTTTGAAGTTAGATCTGCTCACCATATTGGGTAAATAGAATGACATTAATTTTAGTTTAGGATATATAGTTATAATAAGTGATTAATTAATTGGTTAAGTAAATGGATTTATTAATATTTTGATAATTGATTTAGAGAAGAAAATCCATCAAAAATTGATATTAAAAGGTTGATGAGAGATGCTTTAAAGCAAGGAGATTTATTCTCGGATAATAAATTTTTGGGTAAAATAAAAAAAAATGTCAAATAATAATGATTGGGGTTTTATTAATAATAATAATAATAAAATATTTTAATCCTTATCCTTAATTAATTAATGATAGGTAATGATTTAAATGCATGTAGAATATTTGGTAATTTGGAAGTTAATAAAGTAGCCGGGAAGTTACACATATCAGACATTGTTTCAATGGGTGGATTATCAGCTCCTAATACTAAAGGTATGAATTAATATTAATAATTTATTATTTTTATTTTTATTTTATATATATATATATTAATAAATTAATAGATTAATTTACTAAATACTTTATTATTCGATTTCAGATTCTTTAAATTTCTCTCATAGAATTGATGAGTTTTCATTTGGTAAACACTATCCGCTTCTTGTAAATCCTTTAGATAATAGTATAGAAATATCTCAAGAAAGTATGGAAAATAGGTTTCTTGATATCTTAACTAAAATTTTAATTAATATTTTAAACAATATTTTGATGTTTGTTTTATTGTTTTAATTAATAATAGATTATGAAATCTTTCAATATTTTTTATCGATTGTAAGTAAATAAATAATTATACATTGGATTATTTTTTTGTTTATTTTTATTTAGCAAATCTTTCATAATTATAACTATAATTATAATTATTATTGACATTAGGTACCTACAATTTATATAGACAATAATAATAGAATACTATACACAAATCAATATTCAGTTACAGATTATAATAAAATAATTGATATTAATAAGGGCTTAATATCAGTTCCAGGTAAATAAATAAATAATTTAAATAATTAATTTAAATAGTTGATTAATTGATTAATATTTTGTTTCAAATTTAAATTTTCTGATTTTTCAGGAATTTTCTTTAAATACGACATTGAACCTATTTCTGTTAGAATAACAGAAAATTCAAAAATAGGGTTTATAAAGTTTTTAGTTAGGTTAAGTGGATTAGTCGGTGGTATTTGGGTTACAGCTGCATTCTCTTACAAAATCATAAATCATTTTTTATTTTTATTTATTCAAATTATTAATAATAATAATGATAACGGAAATGGTATTATTAATATCAGTAATAATAAGATTATACAATTAGAAAAAGTTAATTAACATAAGATGGATGAAAATTTTGTTAGTTTGTTATTATAGAATATTTTGATCTTGAAAAGAATTATATTTAATAAAGGTTTCATGAAAAACTATAGTATAATGTGGTGGGTAACAGTAGGCCCAGTTAATAACACTTACTGAGGTTTCTTATAATTAAATTAATATTAATAATAGATTTTCGAGTAAAAAAAAAAATATATAAATATATATGATTTTAAATCAAGCTTATTTTATTAACCGCTAATGTGAATTATGATTTCCGTAACTACCGAATAAACATTGTGTCTTTCAAAAAACCAATATATAAATGTGCAAGAAAATTTTTTATTAATACCAAAATGATAAATTAATAATGTAATAGATCATTCATTATTCTTTTTGTTTTGAAAATGGATTAAAGATGATTCCATAAATCTTTTTTATATTGGTAATAATAAATCGTCATCGTAAATAATCGTCATCATAATAATAATAAAGGAAATTTTAATAAAAAATAATTCACTAATGACGATAATGATGGTGATGATAAAAACCTACTCATCTAATCCGCCATCAAGCAAAACATTGTCCACCTGTGTAGTTTCATAACCAGTTCTAAGATCTTTTATTAGCTAAAATTAATAATAATAATTATTATTTCTGTCAATCATATAATAATCTAATCATTAATGATGATAATAATACCTTGTATGGATCTAAAATGTAAGATCTTAGTTGTGAACCCCATGGAGTAAAGTTTGAAATATTTATATTTTGTCTTTTTGCAATTTGTCTGAATAATAATAATAATGTATTTGATTTAATTAGTACATATAATCACACACATACACACACACATATTTATTTATTTGTGACATTACTTTTCTTCTAAAACTTTATTGTATAACCTGGATTTGAGTAATTTCATAGCATCCGCTTTATTTGAATGCTGAGATCTTGAGCCTTGACACTTTAACATCAATTGATCATCATTGTCACCATACAGAAAATCAATTAATCAATAATCAAATAATCTATTTATATGTTACCTGCGCAGTGATTTTTGTTGGCAAGTGAGTAATCCTGACAGCACTTTCAGTGGTGTTGACATGTTGCCCACCTGGCCCACTTGCTCTAAATGTTTCTACTTTTAAATCTGTTGGTGAAATATTTATTAAATTAAGGTCATCGTCTTCCGCGTCAGGCGAAACTTTAACTAATGCAAATGTTGTATGTCTTTTATTCTAGCATATTATAAAAATAGTAATAATAATGATAATAAGATTATTATTAAAAGGTATTTTATTATTATGATTACTTACTTGAATATCGAACGGAGAATTTCTAACCAATCTATGAACTCCCGATTCATATTTACACCATCCATACACATACTCACCATTAATTTGTAAAGATGCTGATTTAAATCCAATTGATGAATCTCCATCCACATAATCCAGTAATTTGACTTTTAATAAGCATTTATAATTAATATTCATACTAATTCTTATATTCACCATCAAAAATAAAAAAATATTCACCTTGGTATCCATTTTTAATTGCCCAATTTTTGTACATTTTAAACAACATAATTGTCCAATCATGACTTTCTGTTCCTCCTGCATTAGCACTAATATGTATAATACATCCATTCTTATCAACTTCCTTATCCCTAATATATAATTTTTTTTAAAATAATTTGTTGGGAAAAAAACTTTCTCTCTGGTTATATATTTATATGATAATGAATTGAATGAATTGAATATTATTAATAATATTTACATGAATTGTTTTAATGTAAATTCCCTTAATTCTTTATTAAGTTCTACTAAATCTTTAACAACATCATTTAACAATCCATCGTCACCCTCTTTCCTCGCTAATTCTGAAAAAAAAATTTTTCACAACAGCAAAATTTTAATAAATTTATTCGCAAGCATATACACGCGAAATATATATAATACATACCAATCAATTCTTTTGTCTCAAAATATTGATTTTTGAAATACTCATAATTTTTAACATCTTCATTAATTATCGATACTCGTTTATTTTTATCAATCGTTTTGATCGCCTGATCATTATTATCGTTAATGTTGTGGTAATTTTTATTATTCCCATAAATGTTCTATCTTAATTTTACTTATAAAATTAATTTTTTTCAAGAATAAAAATCATATATTTAATCGTATTTTCTTCTTCCCGTTTGTTTTGCTTGTTTGTTCCATTCTTAATTTGCTTACATTAGCTTTCTCTAAATTCCTTAATTCCTCTTTTAGATTATTCCAATTTTTTGCTTCGTCCAACATTCTAAGATTTTTATCAATTTGTGTTAATAACATCTTTGAAATGTTGCTATTTTTATTAATACCAAAAAATCTTTTTGTAATAGTTAGAATTGAGAATTTATTAAAATATTGCGATTTCATTTTTGAGGTAAAAAAATTTTACAAGTCAAAAACGCCCAGATGGTGAATTCGCGTATAATTTATAGCCAATCACAGTTAATTATTTGATTAAAAAATTTTTCTTAAAAATTTTAAATATATCAAAAATGGCGAGTATTTTATATAATTATTACAATTACAATTACAATCATTACTGTCATTTATTAACTTTTTATTAATAGTCAACAAGTAATAGTTCAGTAAATCCAAAAGCATTTCCATTGGCTGATGCCGACTTAACTAACCAAATACTCGATCTAGTTCAACAAGCCTTGAACTATAAACAATTGAAAAAAGGAGCTAACGAAGGTATTTATCGTACATTATAATATGTGCGTGTGTGTGTGTGTGTGTTATCTGTTAGGAAATATTAAAAATGAATAGATAGATATTGATTGATTAACATCTAATAACATATACAATCGATCGAACAAACAAACAATCAATCCATCAGCTACTAAGACACTTAACCGAGGTATGTCAGAATTTATTGTGATGACAGCTGATACAGAGCCAATCGAAATTCTATTACATCTTCCGTTACTTTGTGAAGATAAAGTAAGTAAATTCATTGATATTTTTTATCCTCGTAATTTATATTTTATTAATAATTTTGTTATTGACAGAACGTTCCATATATATTTGTTCCTTCGAAAACTGCGTTGGGTCGTGCATGTGGTGTCTCACGTCCAGTGATTGCTGTCTCCATAACTAACAATGAAGCTTCAGAATTGAAACCTCAAATCCTTCAAATCAAAAATCAAATTGAAAAATTATTAATATAAGGTTATAATATAGAGATTAATTTATTATTTAATAAAATAATAATAAATATCGTAATGTAAATTTTTTTTATTTTTAAAGAAAAAAATAAGGGATCATCTTTTATACAGGTGGCATGTGTAAATAGATATTATAGTGCTTCTCAAACTCTGTTGCTGTCTTTAATTACCAAAAAGAACATATATTAATAAAACAATAATAATATGAGATCAATAATTAATTATACTTTTATATCCAGCAAATAGTGTAGTGTCGTCAGGCGACCAAGCCAAAGAGATACACTCAGGATCTTTTGAGTGCTTACCAATTTCTGTAAAATCAGGTTTAAATCATAAATAACTTTTTTAGTTTCAAGATCCCAAAATCTTAATACAAACAAGATGTAGTAGCAGCACGCAACCAATACCTATCTGGACTGAACACTAAAGCATTTATGATACAAATATTTGCCTTCATTCAAATCCCATAACAGTCTTTTCCACCAGATGCACAAAGTGATCCATCTGGTGAAATGGTAACAGCAGCATTAATATATCCACTGTGTTCATAATGATTAGTTTCAAGTTTACATTTGCCAAGTTCCCAAATAGTGTTCCATGTCGCAATCCAAAAAAGGAAACCAAAGTGGTCGCAACCAGGTGTCGCAAACCATTTTTATATGTCGCAAATATGGTTGCAACCATCACCAAGAATTGCGACCAGCATCTATATTCCCAAACCTATATTGTAATATTAATGTATTTATATATATATATGGATTTTTGTTAATTCTTCAAATTGATAAATATATAATTGTCAATTTTCAAATAATACACAAGTATGTATAAATATGCAATTGACTCAAATTTTTTCTTTGAAATGTATTTAATTCCTCCAAAGTAGCAAATATTATAAGCATTAATTTGAACATCACAGTCAAATACATATAATAACAATGATAATAATCACCTTTACAAGTTTATCCCAACTAGATGATACAATGATTGGATTGGGAGGGATTTGGTGAAAATCGAACACAAGATACCCAATTAGTATGACCATCATCCTAAATATTAAATTTGCATTCACCGAGCGTATTCCATAATTTGATCTTGTTCATGTCCAACAATTGACGAATAGTCGTTCCGGTATTCAAATCCCATAATCGAAGTGTCTTGTCCCAAGAACCTGACAAGGCAAATTGTCCATCCGACGAAATTGCAACAACTTGTGCAAAATGATTATGACATGTAAAACATATTAATTAATTAATTAATTATTAGCAACTCGAGTGTCCTAAATAAACTAACCATAATAATAATAATAATCAATTAATGCGATCAATTATAATATTAATAATATCATTACTTCACCATCGACGGAGTGAAGCATAATTTTTGATAACCAAAAGTTCGCCCTATTTCGAAAAAATTCCCATAAAATATTAGTCATCAATCAAAAAATTATTTTACATTACTGGGCTGGTAATGAATCCACTAACCATGTCAAGGATATATGTGGCAAATTTGAAAACTTTAGGTGATTAAAATACTAGTTGTATAAACTGGCAAGAACCCCATGTAATTTCAAATGAGTTGATCTAGGCGATTTGAAAAAATTTTTTGTTTTGGATCACTGACACTGATATTATTAATATTAAATGAAAAAAAGGCAAAAACATATTCTTATATTCTTGAAGAAATAACATTGAATAAAAAACTCCCCATTTTTGGTTCGTGAAATATATTTTCTGTGTAACCACCAAAAAGCTAGACTTTTGCAACCAAACAGAATTTGGGAAATTCCCAAATAAAAGAATTGGAGGAATATTCATATTATTTTATCATTTATTAAAATTCATAAATCAAGTGATCTAGTTTTTTTTTAATGAACAGTAATTAATCATTCAAAATTATTGCAATTAATTAATTAATTTCAAAGAATAATTTAATAACAGGCACGCCAGGAACAGGTAAATTAACGTTATCAGAGTTATTACACCAAAAACAACTAATTATAAATATACTAAGTTGGTAAATTGGCAAAAGAAAAAAAATATATGATGGATATAATGAAAATATATTAAATGATGATAAAGTATTTAATGATCAGTCTATGATCATTTATTATATATTTAGGTTATTGACGAATTGGAAGAAATAATTGAAGATAGTGGGAATATTATTGATTTTCGTTCCTGAATTGAGAGCCGATATTACTATTTATAGAAAAAGATGGATTTTATAGATTATTGATATGATATTTAATTATCCAAGTCAAAAAATAACAGAAAATGTTAACTGAGAGATATTTCAAGTTTCACCATAATAAGCAAAAGAATCTTATTCAGAAGAAATTGTTGTGGGATTGCAAAGTAATAATACGGATGATATTGAAAATAATTTATCAAGAATTGAAATGGATAAAAATTTGGAAACTAAATAATAATAATTGGAGTCCAAAATAAATTTGATAGTTATTTAACTTTTTGCCAAGTAGTGATCTTTTTGATATTACTATCAATCATCATCTATTACTATGCATTGGATAAGTATTTTTTATTCTTTTTACGGCTAATCTTATCTATCGCCTTATACGATGTAAAGATTTATGACATCCTACGATTACAATTATTATTAAAAAAATTTTTAATATATTACCATGCCAACAATTAAAAAATATTCTACCCTTCTAAAAATAAGAATATTAATAACACACACAACACACTTGTTATAAACCAATTACCTCCATCACAAGACATATCTAAATTTTGAAAAATCAACTACATTCCCAAGTGTGAATAAATGTCCATCGGTGAACAATATAAAAAATATTTATTATTATTAATATTTGTAAGTTGTCTGTCCATCTACGCATGAATTTGGTAATCAAAAAACGAAACTATTATACAATATTCAATTATTACAATTATCAATTAATTAATTAATTTATAAAATAATTAATGACTGCCCCCACATAATAACTAACCTCTTGTATATTTTTTCGTGGGATTTTATTCTATTCAAAAGTCTATATTCTTTTTTTTATTATTTCAAAAATGCAATGACCACCACAATAAATAAATTTCGTAGAAAAAAAAGCGTTTATTTTATTTGTTTAAATAAGTAACAAATAATCTAATTTTTGTATAAAAAAACTACAGTGTAATAATAATAATAAAAGAATGTTCTTTTTGTCACTAAACTAATAATATATATATATATATGGTATACAAGACATTTTACAAGTAAAAATAACAAATCTATTCTAATATACAAATAAATTTTTATAAACCAGGTAATCTTTTCATTATAAAAAAAGTTTTTTTAAATAATCATTATTTCCTATTTCCGGAAAAATTCCAGGTTTTTCTATTGGAATAAATAATAATAATAATAATAATAAAAATAATAGAATTTCCGGAAAGAGTTTCTGTTTTTTTTCCTTGTTTTTTCCTATCAGGAAGAAAACTAATGTTTTTAGCGAATTCTTTTATTATTATATGAAAAATTTGTTTCATTAATTATTTTCTCTCACCTTTTTTTGATTGTTTTTATGTAATAATTATATATTTCTATGTTATGTATATGTGTGTGTATTTTATGGTTTTGATAAAAGTAAGGAAATAAAAAAAAGGGTTAAAACAGAAAATCATCGTCTTCAACCTCTAAAGTGTTTGAGTCCCGGTTTTTTTTTGTAAATTTTATATTTTTTTTAAAAATTCTCAAACACTTTGAAGTTGATTTTAATTATATTCAATGGTTTGATTGTTCAAAAAATGTAAATATAATAAATTCACATTTTTTAAAACAATACAGATTTCTTTTGTAGACAAATCTATTACGTTTATATATCTTTTTGTTTTTTTTCTTGTTTATTCTGCGGGTTGCTAATAATTATTCTAGATTTTGTAGAATTCTATATATGACAGGTCAATAAGAATAATGCATAATTCATCAACACCAAGTGATAAGATTACCTTAATTTACTGATTACTAATATTTACAAAATAATAGATCTTATATTTCACGTCACAATCAAAATTTTAAAGTTTGAAAATAGGCACAGCCGGAAATTTAAATTCCATTTGTATTTTGTGTAATTCTAAAAAAAGAAAAAGAAATTCCTTTACCTTCCATATTTACAAGCCATTCAATGAGTCACAGTAAAATGTGGCTGATAATTATTAAAACTTTTCTATGCATAATAATAAATAATAAAAAAATCCGTGAAATATTCACGAACTATCTTCAAAAAGAATCTAAAATTTCAACAATAATAACTATCGTATCACGTTTTTTTCCGTAGTTGATTTTTTTTTAATAATAATAAATAATCGACATCGGAAAAATGATAAAAGTCCGTCCGTGGTTTTATTTTAAGTCAATCAATCAATTAGAGTCAATTAGTAAACTTTCACACACATCTATCTAACTATACCACAATGTAAAATCAAAAAACATATTGTTAAAAAAAGAAGAAGGAAATTTACTAGACATAGCCAGTGTTATGTAAACGATTGCCAGAGTTTGTGCAACGCTCTTTGACTAAAAATCGCGTTAAAAATAACAACGATCACGTGATTTTATCATTCATATCTTAAAAAAAAGAAAGAAAAACAGGTTTTTTTAATATTTGTTACCAAAACTTTTTTGTACATTGTATCCGAAATATACTTGTTTTTATAATTCATTTCATTTAAGTACCCAAATCTGAAACGGCGTACTAATCATTTTATTCGTTATCATTTTAAAAAAAAATAGAAGTGACGCGATTTGTCAATATAAGTTGCCAATTTCTTGGTTTTTTTTAGTAACATCCAGTAATTTTTTTGCTCATATGTTTGATTTTGTCCCAAAAAATCCAAGATTTGATGATCTTTCTTTTTTTTTATAATTTCTCATATATTAAATAAGCGAGTAAAAAAAATTGCCATCGACAGTTGAATGCGATTTTTAAGGTAATAATCGATTGGTCTAAACTTTTATGATTTTCAAAGGGTTACGTACTTTGTTTATCTGGAAATTGAAAGTTGCTTTTTGGAAATAATAAATTTTTCATTAAGGATAAAAAGAGAGAAACGTTGTGTAAAGTTCGACAAATTGGAGATTTTTTATGTTTTATAAATTAAAATTCATAAATAAATTCTAAAAGTAGCAACAATAACTTTTTAAAAATAGCCAATTTGGGAAGCGGCGTAACATTACAGAATCATGTGAATAGTTTTATAAATATATTTTATTTTTTGACCCAAGAAAACAACTTTAAAATAAAAAAATACTTATTAGTAAGCATTTGAAAGGTTTTTTTTTTTTTAAAAAATATTTGCAAATAAAATTCAAAAGATAAAAAAATCAAATAATGTCTTTACAAAACGGTATGAAAGAATTGAAGGACCTAAAACTAAAAATGGATAGAAATGCACGTAGAAGGGAGAGAAGACGCCTAAGAAAATTCCAAAAGACAAAAAAACCACGTCCACCAAACAGTTTTATCTTGTATAGAACCTACATGCAAAATGCAATAATAAATAAATCCAATAAATCCCCAACAAATATGAGGGTAGCTTCTAAAAAAATATCAGAATTATGGAAGCACGAACCAAACGCCATTAAAACTTTCTGGTATCAGCTGGCAGTTAAAGAAAAATCAAGAACTTCGGATAAAACAGTATCAGAAATTGTCAGCTCGTTAAACCATCCAATGTCTAAGGTTACGTCGTTTGCCCATCTCTCAACAACAACGACATCTAATTTAGACGAAGAAAAATACGAGCCACAAATCACATTCATTATAAATGAAAATAATATGATAACGCAACAATCTTTTCAAAAATCTTTCCAAAACGTGTCACCAGCCAGTTGCAACAGCAACAAAAATAATAACGGCGATGCCAACTATCATCATAATGCATATAATGAAAGTGTTTATTTGTTATCAATGAATGACATGACATCTCCTCCTTCTATATCTCATCCTCCTAATTTTTATTCGGGGCCTTCCTCTTTGGCTCACTCACCCCGTTCCCCATATTCTTCACCATCCTCATCCTCATCACCTTATTTTTCGTTGCCACCCTCTCCTCCTCATTTGACAATAGAGTCATTACCAATTTTTTCATGTGAAAAAAACATTTTTTTAAATAGTTCATTCAATAATCAGAACGTTTTAAGAGATCCATGTTTAGTGGAGACTTTTTATGACACCGCAAAATATCACATAGACGATAAAATTAAAGACGCAAATTTCAACACTTCTCCGTTGATTGAGTTTACTACATGCGAACAAGAGCCTTTGGCGCCATTGTTTGATCTTTTGGATAATAACAATGAAAATATCCAGTAATTTTTATTGATGTAATTACAAGTATAATTTTTTTATTGAATATTTTAAACGCGCAATACAAAACACAAAAAAATGAATTAACTTTCCCTTCTTTATTTTTGTTTAGCATCATTATTCTTAAAATGATTATTATGTTTTTTTTTTTTTACATCTTCATTGTAAGTAATTAAATACATCTAAGTTTATATATGTATATATATCTATCGTTGGTATATTTTTTATTTCTTTTTTGTTATTTGTTATATATAATTAAATAAAAAAAGCTTCAAGCTTCATCAAAAAATTTGCTGGGCATTTCACGTGATATAAATTATACAGTCTGCGCGCGATTGTTCGGGACTAAAATGTTAATTTCTCGCAAAGAAACTGCTTGATTATACTGATATTAAATGTTTTTGACAAAAGCACCATTTTGTCAATTTGAAAACATTAGATTCTAGGACACGTGACACAAAGATTTTAAAAACAATTTGTTTCGGTCAGGGTTTTGGCCTAACATTAATGAATTGTATAAAGTGATGAGTGACTAATTGAGCCTTGATTAAAGCAAAGAAGACTTAACTATCTACCATATCGCATATCAAAATTCATACGCAGGAAGAAGTAGTACCAGTGAACATAACGCCACAGAATAATTTCCGTGTGTAAAAATGTTCGATACCACAATTGTAATATTGTGTAATGAATGTGATGTGAAATCAGTTATATAATTCCTTTAATCATTCAATCCTTTTCTTTCCCTCCATGCAAGGTAATTGGAGTAGTTAGTCCAAACATATAGTAGGTAGATTAGATAAGTGCTGTGTTTCCTTCAATTCTTTCTTTTTATTGGGTTATTTCCCAGTGTCTTTTCCTTTTGCATACAGTTAGTTGTCGGGATTTTTTAACCTGTTAGCGATTTTTATATACTCTCTTTGTCTACTTCCTGTCTTCTTGTAAATAAATAAATCTCTCTTTTTTAAAGGGAACAAGTTGCATTTGTAATCCTAAGACATCCTTTCACAGTAGGCCACTTATTTCCCCCAAGGAAAAGTGAACTACAAAATTCCCGGTTTCCAGTTTTATCCTTAACTTTCTTAATACTTTCTTGCAAAAGTTTCCCATTTCAGCTCAAGTTTCTTCATTCACCTGCTCAATTTTATCGAAGACTGGTTTTTAGACTTAATAACAAGTACCTTTGGATTAAAACACATTTTGGACTATAAAGACTTTACCTTTTTAAGCCAGAAGCTTGCAACTTTTCTACATTTTCTTGGGTGCCTTCTTCTCTTTGACAAATTGATATAAGTTTTTTTTATAAATTTGTTTTGAGGAATATACTTACAAGATATTTTTCCCGCTTCCTAAATAATATGTAGGACCATCCTTATATAAAATATAATATGAAACTAATTTACATAAAATCCACGTCATAGAATCCCAACCAAGGATTATAGTACTATTAAAAGTACTTTTAAAAAAGCTCACATATATTTAATTAACTGACAAGCACTTGAAGATCATCGAAGGAAAATTACCTATGAAGTTTACCAAGAAGAAAGAAAAAACCATAAGCATTAGGAAAAGAAAGCAGAATGAAAGTGAGCAATTGCTTAATAAAAATAGAAGAAAAATAATGCGGGATAAAATCTCATGATTACATAACTGTCCTCTCAAGGTAAAATAGGTAAATTATCTATCTTTTCTTTTTAGTTTCTGAGAAAAATAAATAATAATAGCTATAGTACTGAATATTAAAGTTGTAACTGCTGACCATAACCAAATAGACTTACCGTTAACCTTTTCTCTCTTTGTATAGGCAATACGTTTGCATTTTTGTTCTGCTACTACCTTTTCAAAAATCTTCATCCTTTATTTTTTAAGTCACTGGTGCATTCGGAAGCTGGCGTGGCATAAGTTTTATCAAGTAAAAATGTTCTCATCTCATCAACAAAGTAGAAGGGAGAGTAACTGCTGATTGGATAATTTAGCTTGGGGTACTTGGAATTTATTGTATTTTCTTGGTTAACAACAGACTTGTGTTTTCCTTTAATGATGCAAGCCACAATAATCAATTCACTAATCAAATCTTCTTTTAAGGCTAGCAGTAATTAATTCTTTAGTGATTGAGAGAGAAAGAAAAGATACCTTTCCTTATCATAAAAAGAATGTTGATTGCTATAATGGTTTTCATTTTTCATTTTTTATTAATTTTGATAATTTTTCATTAACTAATTGTTCATTATTTTTCTTTTCATTTTCATCATCAATGTAAGGGTATTTTCATCAATCAGTCGGTGTTTATTTTGGTTGCACCCATCATTGGATCAAAGTAGGATCTCACCAATATTTTAATATCCCTTTTTTCCAAAAGCTTTTAACCTCCAAAAGACAAACTCTTTTTCAAAGAAGAAATGGCTTAGATAGCTATCATCCAAATTAGCAGGTTTCCCCTTGACCATTTCTTTGATGAGGCAATTATTTGATTCATTAGCAGTGCAGATTAGATTGGTTTTGGACAAATAGTATCTTTAAATTCATATCTGGCAAAAGGATGGATATATTGTAAGGATGTTTAAGAGGTCCATTGGAGTGGGTGCTGATGCTGGAAATGATAAGCCTTCAATATGTTTTCCCGGCTTTTGATAATTTGAATTCATTAAATGGCCCATTGGACTTTTTTATTAGAATCTTCAAAAAGGAAATGTTGAAAGTTTTATAATACCATCCAACTTTTAAATATAGATTTAATATCAAAGTCTTTCCCACTTTTATCATAACATCGAGTTTTATTTAATCCTATAACATTGTATCTTTTCACAACATCCACAATCTATACTACTTGTATCTTGATATAATTTTTTAATCAATCCAAAACTGCCATCACATTTTAATTTGTCATGCCCAGGAATCATGAAATTTTTTCATAACAATTAGAACAATAAAATCAAACAGTTATATTATTCTTATTTTGCCTGTTCACCAGCATTATCACAGGGTAGTCTTCAGATGCTTTCCGCCTTCTTAATTTCAAACTAACTGTGCCATTAGACCCTTTCCTATCAATTCATTCTCATCAAAGTGTAGTTAATTTGATCATGAGCTGCTTCATCTTGAATATCAAATAGATGAACCTTTCAAGGGCCAAGATAATAATAGATCTTACCTATTGATAAGAATGTGGTACATGGACATTTTGTGCTAATTAACACTGCAATGCTGTATCTTACACATGATTCTGACCAGCTTTTCTTTAGATGTTCTTTATATTTTTCAGTAAGTCTTTTTACCTATTCTTTTTTATGAACTTTATATTGTAAGTTATTCAGAAATGTTGACAGGAATCATACATTGAAATTGTATTGTGACTCCGGCAGTGAAAGGCTTATTAATGCTAAGTTTTCTTTTAGGATGTTTGCTAGTACTCATTGATCCACTATCCGTTGCTATGAAAAGAAGATATCTTGTTCTGATTTAAAAAAAGTTTGAAAGGCTTCACACAATTCAGCAAACTCTTTTTGAAGAACCATTGTTGAGCAACTACAACTACAACCACTTTCAAAGAATGAAGTACTTTTAATAATTGTTTAAACTAATATTTGCTTCACGAATCACCAACCCTGATTAATATTAACAGTTTCTAAAATTTCTACTAAAGAATAGAAAAATTACAAAATTCAACTTGATCGAATTTGAATTAGCTTCTTATTTGAAAAAATAATAATACTATATTAACATTATTTGAACAATAATAATTTTCAATTTCTCGTCTACACACAACTTTTCTATTTAATATTTAATTAAGTTTCTAAAAAAAAAAAAAAGAGTGAAACTATTACTATTGTAATTGTAAATTTTCAGACAATAATTTGACAAAATTAGCAAATCGTGATTAAAAAAATATAATATCATTTAATATATATACTGTCAAATATATCATCCTTCACCCGTTTTCCCTGAAAGGTTGGTTCATGTGGTGGTGATGAGGGGTGGGGAAAGAGTTGTATTACGTTCTCTTGTGTTCTTGTAATGTTTGAAATTTTATTGTTGAGCCAATGGAAGCACTCAAATGTTGACACTTGATAGAAATACGCAAATTTGAAAACGTTTCTATAAGTTATATAAAATACACGCCCGAAATCCAAGCATGTTTTTATAAATAAAATGTTTGCACATCCAATGCCACCATCAAGAAATAAAATTATAGAATAGATGGACCAACGGTGTGACCTATGAATTTTGTTGTGTATTCAGAGGAATAAATAAAATCAACCACTAAAATCTATATATTTCATACCAGAAAACCTGAATTCCAATAATGAAAATCTCTGTAAATCTTTCTTATTGAAGTGGAGCTAATTATAGAAATTATCCATCATGCCCTAAATTTAATATTGATAGCAAGCATGATCAGATTGTAATTTTTAAATCATGTTTGTTACCAATTTCCATTATCATAATTTCAGCATTGAGAATTGGTTGCTTTACACCCTTTTTCAATCTTAAAAATTTTTATAAAAATTCAAAGTCTAACCGGGGAAAAAGGATAGTTTCACAAGCGTTGAATGTATTTATTTAAAAGAGAAACAACAAAAGATTTCAAACAGTCCAATGTTAAATTCTTTCCAAATAATGGAGCTAAATTTTTAGTGCATAATCACATTCTCCAACGTGGAATCGCCAAGATGTTGATCTTGAGACGACCTGCTGTACAGGAAATAAACAGAAGATCCAACTATTGAGATGCTTTAGAGAATAAAATAACCTCACGTCAACATCTTAAATTATGTGACTTACAAGAAAGAAATTATTTCAGATGCAATGTAGCGCCTTCAGAACCAAGAATCGAAAGTTTAGATTTCCATTCTTGTAAATCAGTCAAATTTTTCTGCAATATAAACATTATTTGCTTACTGATTATATTACATTACAATATATACCTTTAAGCAAAATAATAAATACAAGAACTATTTATTACCAATTCATTCGATGTCATGAAACCCTTTTTGTCAACATTGTCATTTGCCAAAAATTTTTTTGTGGGTGCTTTTCTTAATGCAGATTTGTCTTTGTCCTGCCTGGTCTGTTCCAGTTTCGTCCAATTGTTAAGGTCTATAATACGAGATTCGATTGACCTGTTAATTAATCACCCTACCAAATCATTGATTGTCTACTAGATAATTAAATCATACTAGCACGAATAAAGACTTACTGTGCACCAACATCTTCCTTCAAATCTTTTTGAGATTATCATTTGATTTATCTGTAAACGACACCAATCAAATGGTTGTGTTTAAGCAAACCTAACTTATCATTTGCAGTTTTTCATCAATGATTCATCGGTCGAAGAAGAAGTAGTGGAGGCTGGAAAGAAATTAGAATCTTCGTTTACATCTATCGTAATGTTGATTTCGTGATTGTTAGTTAAGATACAGTAGTAGAATTTTATCCTGATGATCATAAGATTTTGCAAGTTGTACAATCACAGAAGAAAATTTTTGTAAGATAGTACCATATTACTAGTCTTTGATCTTGCCACAAGTTGATCAGGAACGTTTGTAATTAGATGGATCAAAATAAGCAAATCGGTAATTATATTTCTATTTCCATCAATCATACTATACAGGATGCATATAAACTTACTCAAACACTAGACTAGTTGTTCCCGTTCATCTATTTTATCTAGAGGCGATTCCAGTACTGATTTAGATCATAAGGATCCATTTATTAATTAATCACTGGTGGAAAGAAGGCATTTAGTTTTATGTGAGCATTCATGCAAGAATTCCTCAAATAATCCATCCTTTGCCTGAGCCTTTTAAGAGAATTGATATCCAATTTTTTTCGAAAAACTTGCTAACTGTGAAGCCCCGTGGAATAATTCAATCCCTCAACATGAACTCTGCACATGAGCAATATTATACCAAAACGAGACAACGATTAACATTGTGAGCCAATTCAGAAGTGATGAGTAAAAAAATATACATTGTTATAATAAAACGACATGCATGCTTTTTAATCCAAAACATTCTCGAGATATAATAAGATCGCTACACCCCTTCCAAATGGTCGTGTTGTAGTTATCTATCCCTTAACAGCACCAAGGTAAGGAGGGAATGAGAACACTAGCTGGGAAAATAGAGTCATATCGTGTCCATATCTTTTGAAAAGTCGCTATGCATCTAATTCCCTGACAACGAAAGAGCAACCAACAGAATTACAAGCCATGGAAACGTCAAACACAAAGATGTGTTTGTCTCGGTTTACATGCAATAGATAAGAGCAACGCGATCTTGTTAAAAGTTAATGTCGCACAAACCAGTACTAGTAACAAAAAAGGGCAGTAAATACAAAATAAGATATTAATATATATATACTTTATCAAAAAAATTTGTTGCCTAGCTGTCTTGAGATTGATTAACATGCTTTTATGCTTGGCCTTCATAGACAAACTTTGGAGAACAAAAATACTTTGCAGGGATTGAAAATTAAATTCATTTTCTTGTTGTATTATTCCCGAGGCAAGGGGGCTACCCCTTGAAGTTAAAATTACTATCACGGAATTTTTTATTCCAGGTACCGAATTTAGACAACTAAAGAAAAAATCTATTATTCTTTCTACCCAACCAACTTTTTAGGAGGATGAAAGTTTTGTTAACCTTGCTAGCTTCAACGAGAAAATAGACTTGGGTCATATTAGTTTTTTTGTCACAATCAACTTTTTTTAAAAAAAAACAAAAAAAAAACACAAGATAAAGGACTTTCTTTCATGTCCTTAATATTTTGTGCAACAACATCTATGTCTAGTCTACTTTTGATATTAATAATTATGATGGTACGCGTAGAATGATTAACATTTCAAATGTTTAATTAAGCTTAAATGAAATTACTACTTAAATTAATTATATTAACCTAACACACACACATCACATACACGCACGCGCGTAACACAATCACACACAACTTAAATTGATGATTATAAGTCGTAACAAAAAAAAAAATCGGACGTAAGCGACAACACACTAAAAAAAAAAATAAAAAAAAAATAAAAATATAGATAAATTATTTTTGGCGTATTTTTTTTCTTGTATTAATTAGTGGTATGGGAGGGAAGCAGGTTACACCGGTTTAATATAAGTAAAAATAAAATTATTTACAATTAATTCGTAAATAAAATCAGGTTTTTTCATTACTATACAGATGGTTTTATTTGATTAGATATGATTTGAAATATACTGCTTAACCACGCGATCACAACCGTTTACCAAATTTGACGAGATAAATAATAAATTTACTCGGTTAAATAGAAAATTCTTGAGTTCTAAAAAAAGTTGTTGCTCAAAATTATATTTCCTATTTATTTTATTTATTTATTTATTTATTTATATTCACATTTAATTTTTCACATTTCGCATTAATTTGTTTACATTTTATATTTCACATTTCACATTTATCTATTTACCATATTTTTTGTTTTGTGATTTTATATTTTTTTCAATAAATCAATCAAACTCGCGCGTTCTTTAAACGAAGAAATAATACTAAATTAGTCCATCAATCGAATTGATTAATCATGGGGTCACGATTGATTGATTAGATACAACCGCAGAGGACAACAGACAAAGAGAATGAAAGATTGAATATTTGATTGGTTGGAGATTTTTACAGAAAAAATCCGACATCACCAAGACAAATAAATAAATGAAGGTAAAATCACTCACTAGTAACAACAAATAAATATGCAAATATTGTTTTTAATATAAACATTGAAAAATAAAAAAAAACAATCAAGATAATTGATTATTTTCACGTCCTTTTATCCAAATTAAGAAAGTAATTAAATCGTAAAATTTTAAATTTTTAAATAAATGCCTATCACCTGCCACAACCACCACTGTTAAAATTATTCAATCATTAATATCAATCATTATTACCATTATCGTTAATGCTATTATTAAGATTATTAATATTACTAATATTATTAATATTATTTCCATAATCTTGCAACACATTACACATCAAAAAATTAAATTTACGGTTCCTTTAATTAGGCAAATGGCGTAAAAAATTGCCGTCGTAGTAAAGAGAAACCATTGCTGCTGCTGCACACACACACACACACAATGATTTTTTTCATCAGGTTTTAAAATTTCAAATTTTAATTAAAAATTTAAAAATTAAATTTTACGCCGTAAAATTCTAATGATTCTAATTAACCTGTTTATAATACTTACTACCACCAACACCATTACCATTATTATCATTATTATTATTATTATTATATGATTCAAAAAATTTATTATCGATAATTGCTTTTAAGTTTTTAAAACTGTTGCACAAGAAAATGTTATTAAAATAGAATTACTATTATTTCATCCAATTCAATTGATCAATTACAAACGTTTTTGGCAAATTAATTCTTTCGACCCCTTCGACAAACTAAGAAGAAGGCTTTTATTAATAACTTATTATATACATATATGAATGAATGTATAGTTATATAATATATATGTGTGTGTGTGTGTCCATCTATATATACATTTATATATATGTATATATATGTATATATATATATACACATATGATTGATAATCCAAGGATTCTCAAGATGATTGGCGTATTGACCCTAAAACAATTTAGACGCAGAAATTACATATATACGAAATATATAGATTAAGGCGTTAGTATTAAAATATCAATCAAACAGCCAATTACATGCAAAACTTCTAAAAAGATATAGAGAAGGAAAGATTTTTGCGTGCATGAATTTAAAAAAGCCTCTCATTTAATCTTTAAATAGCAATGAATATTAATTTCAATATATATATATAATAATAATATCAATGGTAATAGTAATTATCGTAATTTCGGTGCAATTTAAAATAACATTTTTATTTTCGTTTTCTCTTTCCACACACACACACTCTCTTTCCCTCGCCTTCGCCTTCTCATCATCCACTCACCCACTCTTTCTCTTCTGATTGATTACGCTATAAAAACAGTAAAAAGTCCGAGAAAAAATTTTTTTGCTTCGCCAATAATAATAACAACAACAACAATAATAATAGCCCGAGTTGGAGCTGAGTTACTTGTGCGGGGGGTTCGCCACTGATAAGCATTTTGATCCGCGTGATCAAAATTCCACATGGTACGTTTTGAAGTTTTTGTGTATCTTATTTAATGAACCCTTTTTTGTCTTTTTTTTTTTTTTTTTTTTTTGCCGCTTTATTAATGAACGGTAATTGTAACAGAAGAAAGAAGGCATAGAAATTAGATAACAGTTAGTCCAAAAAAAAATGCGTGTATGAATCTTTATTTGTTTAATTTTAATATTTTAATTATTTTATTATTGTTTTAGTAGTGTTGTTTGTTTTTTTTATTATGATGTAAATTGTATATATACATATATAAGAATTTAAAGTGCTTGTCAAATTTTTTGTATCGTTTGTTTTTTGCATGATTATTTTTGTTTCTAAAAAATTCCTCGTCCGTTCATGTAAACATTGTTTTATATCATGTATAAATGTGTATGTTGTATATATATATATATATATATATGCACATACTTTTTTCATACTACATGTAAGCATGCAAAATAAAGAGGCGTATTTACTTAGAATCTTGAATAAATCGTCAAATTAGATAATCCTTGTAGTTTTTTTTTAATTTATTTATAATATTTACAATGTTTAAAAATTTTGACATAAAATTTTTTATTTGGGCGTAAATTAAAATCCTGGGGCAAAAAAAAAAATGCAAATATTTTTTACTTTGGGGAATAATTTTCATTTTCATTTATTAGTTAGTTATTGCCTTTTTTTTTTTGAATGATTTGTTCAAATTTGGTCATTATTAATAAGTATTTCAAAAAAAGGAAAAATCAGCAGCTTCAAAGAAAAATTATCTTTTTGAAGAAGAAGAAGAAGAAGAAGAGAAGAGGGAGGAGGCAGAAAGAGAAAGGAGAAACAGGAAATATTAAATATAATTGGCATTTCAATAAAGATAAGCCATATTTTATTCTTCTCTCTTTCATTCTCTCTCACACACAAACTCACATAAAAAACCATTTATGAGCGTGTGGGCGTATTTGTATTATTTAATATTGCTTTAATCGTCGTTCGATTTTAATTTGTTACTTGACAACTAAAAGATTTTCAAAATGTTGCAGGCTTATTTATCTAAATAAGATTTTCAGTCGTTATAATGAATGAGTGGTAAAGGAAAA